TTTCCTTTATTACACTGACTTGGACCTCTGGTACAATGTCAAATATAAGTGGTGAGATTGCCAAAAAGTGTGATGTTAGCTATAGGGTTTTTCATCTTTTAGGGTTTTTTGTAAATAGCCATCATTGACTTGAGAAGTTCCCTAAAACTTCTCATTTGCTGAAATATTTTTACTGTGAATAGGTTTTGAATTTTAACATGTAACCAATTTTCTCTCCATCTATTGAGATGTTCAGGTGATTTTTTTTCTTCTTTATTCTCTTACTGGTGGGAATAACATTGATTGATTCTCACATATTAGATTATTACATTCCTGAGCTAAGCTCCAGCTGATGAAAATGTATTCACCTTTCTTTTAACTGTGCAGAACTTTAAGTTAGCATATATAAGTCTGAAGTCTATATGAAACTTGTGTTGACCTCTTTAACTTTTCCCTTAAATGCCCTTCTCTGGTTTTAGTGTAAAGATTGTGCTAGCCCAGAAAACCGTGTTCTCTTTTCCTCACTTCACTGATGGGGTTGGTGAAGACTAAATGCTAGTTTTACTTCTACCTTACATGATTGATAGGATTCATCAGCGAAACCATCTGCCTGGCATTTCCTTTGAGGGGAAAAATTTAAACACAGATTTAATTTCTTTACTAGATAAGGGATTGATCAGATTGTTTATTTCTAATTGTATCCATTTTGGAAGGTTGTGGTTTTCAAGGAGGTATGTCCATCTGAATTGGAGAATTTATCAGATGAAATTATTGATTTTATCCTCTATTACCTTTTTAATATCTGCTGGTAATTTTGTTTTCTCTTTTTCTTAAATCCTGCAGAAACTTGGTTTTTATTTTTATTGCTTATCTATTTTTGCTTTGCTACTTCTCTTTATTATTTCCAGCCTACTTTCTTTGCGTTTAATTTATCTTCCTTTTTTTAGTTTCTTAAGATCTTTGATTTTAAACCGTTCTTCCTTTATAAATTGTTGTCTGTTTGTTTTGTGGTACTGGTGCTGGAGATCAAACCCAGGGTCTTGTGCATGCTACACAGCACTCCCAGTGAGCTACATGCCCAGCCCAGGAAGTCATTATCTTTTTATGAATTGTTCTTAATTGTACAGTAGTCCAAGAACATTTGCAAGCATGTTGAGGCTTCTGTCCATGATGCAGTAATAATAGACACTAGATTTGTCACACTACCATGGAACAACTTGAAAACTATGCCACATGTCTGCCATGTTAACACTGAACAATGAACAGTGTAGGGCTGTAATTCCCTTTTCTTTTTCTTTGTTTTTGGAACTTGGCAGGTGCTGTCCCTCTTGAGCCACACCTCCAGTCAGTTTTCTTCTGGTTATTTTGGAGATGGGAGTCTGGCTAATTATTTGCCTGGGCTGCCTTCAAACTGTGATCCTTCTGATCTCAGCCTCCCAAGTAGCTGGGATTATAGGCATGAGCCACCGGTGCCCAGCCTGGACCATAATTTCTGAGAAAAAGGAAACATCCAACATAAGCACTATGACAGCCAGGCTTCCTCTTAGAAGCACATTGAGACTGTGAAACAGGACAGATTCCAAGAAAAGCATAGGACTTTCAGAGTTGAGATAGAGATTGGAGTTCAGAAAAACTAACTCAGAAACTACAGGGCAGTGTTCTTGAGAAAAAGGAACGCTGCAGAAATAGGGGTCCAAAACTCTGCAGGAGGAGCCCCTTGAGACTTGTTAAATACTCATGTGTGTTAGTGGCTAAAGCTCATGAGGCTATTCCATGTTTAAGCTTAAAATAATGCATGTTTCTTCTGCTCAGCGGGTTCTGGCCAGCAGTTGTCCCTAACAAGGAGTTGTGAAAATGTGTAGGGGAGCAGAAAAGAAGTTGGAATCCTACTGTCTCTGCCACAATATCTACTTTCTAAGTATTTCTCAGTGTTTAGGACTATTGAAAAACCTTTCTAAAAAATTCTCCAAAGCTGCGTATTTTGTTTATATGTCATAAACTTAGTAAATGTTCTAAGATCACCTTAATAGTCTGTCCTTAAATCAAGTGAGTTTGCTTATGTCACATAGGAACTGAATTTAAATTTTAATCCCATAAATTAATTAATTTCAAAGTATACAGCATTAAAAATGACAACAGACCTGGAGAAAAGCTGGGTAAAAGTTCTAGAACTGAAAAATTGAGATAAACAGCTCAATAGAAGGATTTCAGATCAGAATTAGTTACAACTGTAGAAATATTTATGAAATGGAAGATAATTTTAAAATATCTAGACTGAAGCATGTGACCACATACAGATGGAAAAAATGCATTAGCAAGATAAGAGCTGTAATGGATATAGTGAAAGTTCTACAGTGTTTAATTGAAGTCCAATAAAGGAAATTACTCCTAAAAATCCACAATATTTTTTATTTTCCATGCCAATAAGCAAAAGTCTACCTTTTATTTTTATAATCTATATGATGCTCCATACTTTCTTAACCAGTCCCTAACGATAGACACTGTCTTAGAATTTACTAAAACATAATTCTTCAGTGAACATAATTGTGCATATCTTCAAATATACTTACGAGCTTTTTTCCAATCAAAATATTCCAAGAAAAATCATTTATAGATTTTTCTATAAACGATGTACACTTGAAATTTTGACATGTGTCATTATCCTTTAGAAGGTTGGGATAGTTTAAGTTCTCATTGTGTGAGGATGTCCATTTTACCACTCTTAGTGATATACCCTATGGTCCATCTTTCCTATTTATGAGCAAAACCCATCTGTTCTAGTAATTAGCTTACACATCTTTAATTACACAGTCATGTGTTCCTTAATGACAGGAAATATGTTCTGAGAAACGTGTTCTTAGGCAGTTTCATCATGGAGTGTACTTGCACAAACTAAGCCATGAGATCAGTAGACCATATCTTCCGGGGCCACCATTGTAGTTGAGGTCCATTGTTAACTGAAGTGTTGTTAAGCAGTATGTTTGACTCTTACAAATCTTATGAACTGTGCAGTCGTAATTTTCATAAACCAGAATTCTTTATTCCTTCTGTGCTTTATTTTTCCATTGCATTTCAATCGGACATACATTTTACTTAATTTCTTTATTTCTTATCCTACCATAAGAAAGTGAGTGTCATTAAGTCACAGTTTATTTCACTGTTTACTAATTCAGCCTGGCACATAGTAGGCATTCAGAAATATTTACTAAATGAGTGAATTGAGAAATCAACATTGCTGGTATTATTGTTTTATTATTTCTTGAGTTGCTTGTCACCATTTTTCTATGCTCCAGGAAGGTTTGAAGGAATTGATACAGGATATACCTTTGATGGCCTTTTCCATTTTTCCGATAGTTGATTCTCTTCACCTGTATCTGGAACTTTTTTCAAAAATTGCTTCCTTAGGAAAGTGGCTGTTTGATAAATTTTCAAATTATCCTTCAGAGATGTATGTGGCAATCTCAATTTTAAAGGTACTTATTACCTTTTGTTAGATAATCCACTTACTGGTCTAATTTTTTTTTAAAAAAAGATGAGTTTTCACTATTTGCACAGGCTGTTTCCAAACTGTTGATCTCAAATGAACTTCCTGGACTATAGTAGGTGCATGTCAAATTCTCCTTTTTTTTTTTTTGCTAATTTTTTTTCAGACCCCTCTTAGATTTGTCTGATATTTATTTACTTTCATCTTTTTTAAAGAATGGGTCTTGATTTTAGTTACCATTTTTACTAAATCGGTCATTTCTACTTTTGTCTTTAATAACTTAATAAACTTATTTCTAGTTTTATTTAATAATAAGCATCTAAAACTGTGACTTCTTTTGCTTATAACTTTGTCCATGTCCCAGAAGTTTCAGTGTCTTGTTCTTACTGACATTCACTTGTTTTTCAGTTATTAAAGTCCACTGCTTGTTAAATGGCAAATTCAAGATTCAAAGCTAGATAGGCTGTCTCTATGGAATGAGATCTTATTTACTTATATCATCTCATTGTAGTACAGAGAGAGTGAACTTTAATGATTTTTTTCATGTTAATTGGTTGAAATAGTTCATTGAAAATTAGTCAATTCCTTTTTTCAAGCTTACCGAGCACCTTTTAAATATCTAGAATTACATTGAAGACATCACAGCTTTTTATGAGTATGGACAGTGAAGGTAAGTAGGGACTTGAGGCTTAAAATGGTTTTGTGGGTTGGCTGAACATGTCTTCTTCTGGTCTCTTCTGGGATCACTCCTGTGTGTCTCCTGAAGTGTCTTTAGTTTTCCCAGTGACTAGCTTGGATTTTGGATTTCTTTGTCGCTAATTTCTTCAATTTTTATTAAGGTATATTTTACTCATTTCAATGGTTTTTAGTAACTTCATCGAATGGCACAATCATCACATCATAAATCAGTTTTAGACCATTCTTTATGCTGCCAATAAGGTTCCTCCCACCCATCTGTAGTTGATCCCTACCTCCCCACCCTGGCCCCTTGGCAACCGCTAAGGAATTTTATGTCTCTGAATTTTCTTTTTCTGACATTTCATTTAACTGGATTCATACAATATGTAGTCTAATGTCTTTCACCTGGTATAAGTGTTTGAAATTAATCCATGAGGTAGGCATTTTTCGGTAGTTGTTCCCTTTTATTGCTGAAAGATACTCTGTTCTATAGATGTACTACATCAATGGTTTTTAATAATTGAGGTTTATTTTGGAAACATTTTTCTTCTAGACTTGACAAATAGGGTTACTCTAAGATTGTTTTTTGATAGTGACTTTTTTGATGATCTAACTACTGTTATTTTTTGCTCCTTAGCGATTTTAAAAGACTATGTCTTGCCTGTTTTTTATGTAGCTGTCAGTTCATGGTTTTAAAAAGTTACTCAAATGTTCTAGTTTACTTATTTGTCCTGTAAAATCAGAATCTTTGATTATAACTGATGTTTTATTACTTCTTGTATTTCTAATAGTTTTTTAATATAATTCTAAATATACTAATAGTTCCATATTTTACCTTTTTTAGACTATATGTCCTTGAATGATACAGGCCAATTCAGTGATGGAGAAAGCTTCTGGTAAAGGCTACCCAAATAATGGAGCGAACCTCCAAAAAGGTGAGGTCTAGACCAGATGTCTTTTTTGAGTGAGGATGGGTACTAAATGTAGTTGTGCTAGACAGTTCTCCCACCACTGTTGCTGCTTTGTAAGCCTTCCTTCAGCATGTTTTTAACTTGGAAAATTCCCCTCAGGTGGTTTTTGGTGAAAATTGGGCAGTCTAGGCAGGACTTCTCAGGAAAAGAAGACTTAACAGAAGGTGAGTAGGAAGAGAAAGTTTCTGTGGGGCCAGGCTTTCAAGAACTGCTAGTAAATACTGTTGCTTCAGAGTAATAGATAGAAGATAAGCAAGCTGACTTCAACTGCCTGATAAATAATACTTGTTTTGTCTTCCCATGAATTGGTTATTGAACTGAGGACCTCATGCTTGCCACTCTGCTATGTGAGCTAGACCTACAGACCTTTTTTCTTTATTTATTATTCAGGTAGGATCTCATGCTTTTTGCCTGGGCTGGCCTTGGACCACCCATCCACATACCTCCAGCTCTTAGCTGAGATTTTAGGTGTACGCCATCATGTCCAACTTGTTCTCTGAGAATAGTGTCTAACATTTTTCTACTGGAGAACTTTGGAATACAATGAAAATACTGTTTGAATTCAGGGCGTCAGGCATGCTAGACAGGCAGGCTACCTCCAGCCACTCCACCAGTAGAAAACAATTTCTTATTAGACCTGACCACAATAAAGAAAACTTGACATTGAAAAAACTCAAGAAGAATCTTTGCTGCTGTGTCATCTCAGATTGCTGTAACAAAAGACCATTGACAGTGACTCAAACAACAGAAATTTATTTTCTCACAGTTCTGGACACTGGAAGTCTGAGATAAAGATGCCAGCATGGTTAGGTTCTGATGAAGCACCTCTTCCTGGCTTGTGGATGGCTGTGTGCTTACCGTGTCCTCACAAGACATATGTCTTCGTATGAGCTCTCTGATGTCCTTTATAAGGGCACTAGCCTGCCCACATGACCTTATCTAAATCTAATTACCTCCAAAAGCCCCATCCACGTACCACACATTGAGTCTAGGGCTTCAACATGTGGGTTTGGGGGTGGGAGCAGTTCAGTTTGTTTCAGCCATCGTAAAGTGTATTTGTCATAAATCATGGAAGAGCTGGTACCAGATCATGTCTAAGGTCTTTCCTAATAGTGAGTTTTTGTGATTTATCATTAATATTTTATTGTCTTTTTTAATCAGATAAATCTAATTGCAAGAAGGAAAATTTATTGTCTTCCAATGATTACAGCGGAGTCAAACTGACTTTTCCTGATGATGAGTGGGATTCCTTGGCACTAGAGCAAAGAGCTAATGACAAAGAAATAAGCAATATCGCCAAAATAGATTTATTAGAGCCATCTTTTTCAGTGAATCAAGATACTAATATAGAAAGTACTCACTCCCAGTCAAGTGAGTTTGAAGACAGTGTTGACTATGCTTTTTTGAATGAAACATACTCTGTACATTATTCAGAGTCAAAACTAAAGAATGAAAATGTTATTCATTTAAATGCAGAATTAGATCCTGAAATGCAAAAAAGAGAAAAGGTCTTTTTTGATACTTTGGAACATCAAGGTAATAAGACTATTGGCTTAGAAAGAATCCACACGATCTTGGAAACTGATTATAAAGAAGCTGATGAAGATGTACAAAAGTATGATACAGATGAAGACTCCCAGCAGGAGTACCACAGTGCAGAACTACTACATACAAGTAGCCACTCATCTTTTGACAAAGCAAAACCATTGAGCATATCTAATTTGGATGTTGCTGAATTAACGAATTCTGGTTATGAAGTTAAGTGTGTTAGCAATCTAGAAGAAGACACTCATTTTCAGTTACAGAGTGGTTCTGTTACCTCTTTAGATTCACTTGATGTTTTTGCACAAGAGTATTCACCTTATGTCTCTAAATTTCAAAATTCTGTTATGTTAAAAGAATATCATGAACCAAACCTTGAAAAGTATAAGGAACAAGAGACTAATTTAATGTACCACACAATGTTTGATGACATTATACAAAGAAGCAGTTCTGGAAACCAAGAATCTCAATCTAAGAGTGGTTTCTTGAACCTGCAAAGGGCACTAAACACTAAAATTTATTCTAAAAAAAGGGAATCTCAAGTAACTGAAAGTAAAGACTTCTATGGACATACAATTGTCAAGAATGAAACATTGCAGCACCTTAAAAATCCTGGCACATTACCCCAGAACAAAGCTTTTGAGACACTGCAGTCCTGTAAAGATTGCCAAACTTCCTGGCCCTCGGTTTTTGATGACTCAGTCATTTCTGCTTGTGGATATTCACATTATGAAAGCCTACAAAGCACCCCTGACCCAGCCTTGGGTTTTTCTGTTGTGCTACCAAGGGATATAGTCAATAACCAGGCAATAGAAGAGGATAACTCCCTAAAAGTTGGTAGTAGCAATACCACAAATAAAGCATTCTCTCATGTGAAAGGAACATGTCCGAAATCTGTGACAGATGCAGCAAGCTGTACAATCACAATTAACCAGGCAGTGGATGTTAGCACTGATTTTAGGGCTTGTTTCACAACCAGCAGAGGAACAAGTGCAAGATCTTCTGTAGTAACTACATCAAGCAACACAGAGATAACAATGATGAATAAAAAACGGCCTGGAGAATGGCGAAGTGAAAGGCAAAGAAGTGTCGCTTGTAATACAGACAGGGCATACAGTCATGATTGTGCAGCTCCACAGATGACTGTAGCAGAAGGATCTGGAAAGACTCTCTCAGTTGATAGTTTAAAGCCTGATGGAACTTTCCTAAATAAGGTAAATCAGTATGATTAATGATAAAAAAATTTTTATTTAATTTATTTTTCTTTATAAAGTTATGCTGATATTGTTTTGTCTCATTGCACTATATTAAGGACTTTGTGAGAAAATGCTGGTTGAAGGGGAAAGACTGGACAGATTGCTACCAACTCTATCCTCTGGTGGCAGCTATTGTCACAAAGTCCTTTTGAAGTTTGAGTTTACATTTTACCAGTCTGGAATTTCAGATATGTATGCATTTTTATCTTATATTTATAATTTAATTTCAAATTATGTTTTCAGGATTCCCTGGAATTAAGAACATTTGATATCACAGATTTAAAGAAGCATCCTGAGAGGTAGGTCAGGTATATAAGCTTTCAGATATATATGAGAAAAACTCAAAATAGTATTTTCTATTGCACACTTTGCTATTTAGAAGTATAGCTAAAAGAAACTTAACAAATTATCTGCTTCAGCCACCTGCCATCTGACATAAATATTAAAACAAGTTTATTTTCAACAGTTTGTTTAGAGATTCATGACATCTCATCTTACTCAAACTAAACCCATATTGATTTAATTTTCCTTTTTGGGGAAGGGAGTAGCACTGGGGTTTGATCTCAGGGCTTTGTGCTTATTAGACAGGTGTTCTACCATTTGAGCCACACCTCCAGCCCTGCATTCTCTTTTGATCCACTGGTGGATCTGGACAAAACAGCACCTTTGGAAAAAAATGTCATACACTTGAAGAAGTAAATAGCTACATTCCCTCAAGTCTTTTAGTCTTAATTTTCATTCATTGCTTAATTTACTTTGCATTTATTATTAATAGTTAAAAAACAAAATTGAGAACAAGGAAGTGATGAAGGGTAGAGAAACAAAGAAGTCAAATTAGTTATACTCTGCAATCATTTATTTTTTTCCTTTCATTCTTCTCATGAGTTTATCTGGTACTCCAACCCTATAAAATTAAATAGAACAGTTGATTTTCCAAAACAAAACTAGCAACTGATAACAAGGGAAAACCTCCAAAAACAATTAATGTTCAAAAAAAAATGTAGTAACTTGGGATTTTTCAAGTATCACAGCACAATATTTCTTATGTTAGTGACCCTTAATTACTAAAAAACTAAATTATGCCTCTTTTCTATTAGAGTAATAACATTTTGAAAGAATTTCAATCTAAATGCAAATAACTGTAGAAACTCTTGGCCAAACCTTAATTTAGGTTGAAAAAATCCATTGATTGTAGATAAGTAAGGTCATTTCCCTTGGCTTGAATCCTCCTTTGGTAAAAGAAAGTCTGAGTTTGTGAATTGTTTAGATCTTTGACTCTTAGAAGACACTTAGCTTTGACTCTTGATGCCCTTCTTTTCTGAGGTTATGTGTTTCTATAGCCTCTTTTGTGGGAATTGATTTAAACTTGACAGGGAAATGTAAGGAATTTAACTTCTATTTTTAGAGGCATGTCATTACCATAGAAGAATATTTAGACCCTTACCTAGTCCTGTCTTTTATTTTAAAGGGAATTTCAACTTTCTGAAGAGATGGAGAAGAATTTGTCATCAAAGTGCTGTCAGAAGATAATGCAGAGAGCCATCAAAGCAGAGATGCACCTTTTAAATGTTCACTATCAGATCTGTCATCGCCATTGTTGTGATATTTACAGAATTATAATGGAAAATAGAACAGGATTAAATAGGTGTTTATTACTTTTAAATCTGTATTGTCTTAGAAATTTATCACTAGCTTTAAGTTTATTCTAGAAAATTTCCAATTTTGCAGGGCAAAAATAAGGGGTAGATTATAAGTGAGTTTTCTAGCCGTCTTAGGGGCTAATGCACTTTTAAAAGTAATACTTTTGAATTTCCCAGAGAGGAAAAGATGGATTCACTGGAGAGATAGATATACAGGTTCTTCATGAAGTCCAAGTAAAGACAGAGGCTTTTGCAGGGTATACTGCCACACTCCCTCTGGCTCATCTGGTTGAGGGTTGCCTCTACTGCCCCTGGAAAGACATATCCGCTAAGGTTCATTTTCCTTTACTTCACAGTTGAAACAAAATGTAAAAATCTGGTAGAGTTAGAACCAAGTGAACAATGGTATGTTAAGTGGATGACTTGGATCTAAATAATTTAATTTTGTGAACTTTGAACAGGAATTTACCAAGTAATTATGCTAAGAAGGAATTAGGAACAGCACTACTATCTATTTTGGGGGTCTTAAAAGGTAGATACACGAATTTGAAAGGAAAAATACACAAAGGCATACCACTGGAAGAGCCCCCACTGTCAGTAGAATCAAAATTATTATCTGCCTTCTCTACTTTTGCTTCCAAGGTATGTATGTGTTTTAAGGATACATTTTTTACTTCATTTAGACAGAAAGCATTTTAAACAAGATTTTTCCCTTTCCTTTTTCCTGTTTCCAGCTAATGAAAGAAGAGTCACAGGAGTAAGTTACAATTTCATCTAATTTAATAGTTACTTGATTTTAAAAACTGTTTAGTTCAGTTAACTTTACATTTTGTTTGTTCCCTATTCAGAGCATTGATAAATTTCCTTAATGAAGTATTTATCTGTTTAGTTTTTTAGGAGCAGATTTTGAACTAGATAATCAGGATGCAGCTGATGTTGATATTTCTTCAAGCCTAAAAAAGACACACTCTCAAGTGAGATTTCTTTTTATCAGTATAAATTTTTTAATTTTATGGTCTGGAAGTAAACTGCAGCTTTCAGAAGCCTCGCATCCTCTTTTTCATTCAACTGTCTTATGCTGTGTACTATAATTGAGGGATGTAACTGTGAGTAGAAGGAAAATAATGGTGTGTTTAGGTCCGGTCCTGATCAGACAGTTGTCAACAATATATGGTGAGCTGTGTGACCATATAATTTACCATAAACCAGAGACTTGAGGATGGAAAGGAGAATAATTAATTCACCAGACACTATACATCTGGACTCCAGGCAAACTGGTGTATTGCCGCCATCATGTTGGGCCAGAAGAGTTAAAAATGTTATCTTGCTACCTCATCTCATGAAGTAAAGTAATATTTCTTAGTAAAGAAATATGTCTTAGATTTTCTGAACCTCTCTTGTTCCCCCGGGAAATGTTTGTCAGGTAACAACTGAGTAAGATGGTTTAATTGATAAAAGAACACATTGCAAATTGTGAAGTGAGGTAACATAAGTCATATAACTTTACCAAGTGAGGAGGCAATGAAATGGGGGAGAAGTTTGGTTTTCCTTTACTGATACTGGTCGTAACTGTTTGAGATTTATTATCTGAAAGTAATCCTCCAAAGTCAAACTCTCGGATTGAACCCAGGGCCATGTACATGCAGGAAGTGCTCTCCCATGGAGCTCCACCCCAGCCCTGCCTTGCAGTTTCTCCCTTAATCATGTCCTTTTTTATCTAGAAGCACTCGACTTACACACATTCATTAACATCTAGTTTCTGTTAAAGATCTTTGTCTAAAAATTTCCCACAAAGCCCAAGTTTTAGTAATATTTTTGGCAATAATCTTGAGAGTTGGATAGTCATTAAAAGCAAACAAAATGCTAACAGTCAAACAAAATTAATTTTCAGTTTTATCTAAATAATTTTGGGATGCTTTACTTAAATTGAAAAATCCATAACTATAATTTTGTGATTGACATAGTGTTAGATTTATTCCCACACTTACTGTCATTAAATTATTATTTAATAAAAAGTGAACATATCTTTATTAAGACGTTCGTTTTTCCTAAGAGAAGTGATAATTTTTTCTTTTATTCATATGTGCATACAATGTTTGGGTCATTTCTCCCCCCCAACCCCCGCCCCGCTCCCTCCCTTTCCCTCCACCCCCTCCCTCTTCCCCCCTTCCCCCTCACTTCCAGGCAGAAACTATTTTGCCCTTATCTCTAATTTTGTTGAAGAGAGAGTATAAGCAATAATAGGAAGGAACAAGGGTTTTTGCTACTTGAGATAAGGATAGCTATACAGGGAGTTTCCTCACATTGCTTTTCTGTAGATAAGTGTTACATTCTAAATTCTTTTTGATCTAACCTTTTCTCTAGCTCCTGGTCCCCTTCTCCTATTGGCCTCTGTCACTTTAAAGTTTCTGCATTAGTTCCTTTGTATTGAGGACATCAAATGTTATCTTGTTTTTTGGGGGGTTCTTGCCTATCTTCATACCTCCCTTGTGTGTTCTCACCTCATCATGTGATCAAAATCCAGTCCCCTTATTGTGTCTGCCCTTGATCTAATGTCCGCATATGAGGGAGAACATATGATTTTTGGTCTTCTGGGCCTGGCTGACCTCGCTCAGGATGATGTTCTCCAGTTCCATCCATTTACCTGCAAATGATAAGATTTCGTTCTTCTTCATGGCTGCATAAAATTCCATTGTGTATAAATACCATATTTTCTTAATTCATTCATCAATAGTGGGGCATCTTGGCTGTTTCCATAACTTGGCTATTGTGAATAGTGCTGCAATAGACGTGGGTGTGCAAGTGCTTTTGGAGTAACCTGTGTCACATTCCTTTGGGTATATCCCCAAGAGTGGTATTGCTGGATCATATGGCAGATCTATGTTTAGATTTTTAAGAAGCCTCCAAATTTTTTTCCAGAGTGGTTGTACTAGTCTGCATCCCCACCAACAGTGTAAAAGGGTTCCTTTTTCCCCACATCCTCATGAACACCTGTTGGTAGTGGTGGTGTTGATGATGGCTATTCTAACAGGGGTGAGGTGGAATCTTAGTGTGGTTTTAATTTGCATTTCCTTTATTGCTAGAGATGGTGAGCATTTTTTCATGTGTTTTTTGGCCATTTGAATTTCTTTTGAGAAAGTTCTGTTTAGTTCACTTGCCCATTTCTTTATTGGTTCATTAGTTTTGGGAGAATTTAGTGTTTTAAGTTCCCTATATATTCTGGTTATCAGTCCTTTGTCTGATGTGTAGCTGGCAAATATTTTCTCCCAGTCTGTGGGTGTTCTCTTCAGTTTAGAGACCATTTCTTTTGTTGAGCAGAAGCTTTTTTTTAATGAGGTCCCATTTATCTATGCTATCTCTTAGTTGCTGTGCTGCCAGGGTTCCATTGAGAAAGTCCTTGCTTATGCCTATTAATTCCAGAGTATTTCCTACTCTTTCCTGTACCAACTTTTGAGTTTGGGGTCTGATATTAAGATCCTTGATCCATTTTGAGTTAATACTGGTGTAGGGTGATATACATGGATCTAGTTTCAGTTTTTTGCAGACTGCTAACCAGTCTTCGCAGCAGTTTTTGTTGAAGAGGCTGTCTTTTTCTCCATCATATATTTTTAGCTCCTTTGTCAAAGACAAGTTGGTTATAGTTGTGTAGCTTCATATCTGGGTCCTCTATTCTGTTCCACTGGTCTTTATGTCTGTTTTTGTGCCAGTACCATGCTGTTTTCATTGCTATTGCTTTGTAATATAGTTTGAAGTCAGGTATCGTGATACCTCCTGCATTGTTCTTTTTGCTGTAAACTCTTTTTTTTTTAAAGAAAACTCAATTACCTACAAATAATTTACAGTCAAAGCTAGATTTTTTTTTAATTTTATTTTAAAGATTTTATATACTACAGTTTCTTGCCTACTTTTCTTAAACAGTTTGGCCATTTAATGACATGTTGTGGAGAGCTTTTTTCTGTCATTATAATGTAAAAATGGTATAAACGGCTTATTTAGGAGAACAATTATTTTTAAATAACAAGGTGTAGGGTCAGGGATTTTGTTCAGTGATAGTGTGCTTGCCTGTCATGTTCAAAGCTCTGGGTTCCACCCCCAGAACAGCAATAATAATAATAATAATAATAATAATAAATAAAAGTATAATGTGTAAATGTGATGTGATTTTTAATATATTTTTATAATCTTAATTTTGACTATAAATATATTTATTTCTGTTTTAAGTTGGAGTTACACTTTATTACCTGTCTCATTAAATTAAGTAGTTATTTGTGAAAGCCACTATACTGTAGGTATAGTGTTCTAAATTTCTGTTATTCATACACAGAATTAATTTACCATACCTAAGTATTACCTATACTGTTAGCTACTCTGTATTTTCTTTGAATTTCTCTTTCTTTTGTGGCACTGGGGAACAAACACAGGCCCTCACACCTGCTAAGTAAGCACTCTACCACTGAGCTACATCCCCAGTACTCTTTTTTTTGGTGGGGGGGTGGTACTGGGGTTTGAACTCATGGCCTCACACTTGCTAGGTAGGCATTCTACCTCTTGAGTGACTCCACCAGACCTATTTTGTGTTGGGTTTTCTTGAGGTAGAGTCTCATGAACTATTTACGAGGGCTGGCTTCAAACTGTGATCCTCCTGATCTCTGCCGCCTGAGTAGCTAGGATTGCAGGTGTGAGCCACTGGCGCCTAGCCTAGTACTCTCCTTTTTAATTAAATTTATAATGTAAAGAACAACTCATTATTCCATATAGAAAAGAAATTGTACTTCCAATAAATAAGATATGCACTAAGTTAAGTACATAAAAAGTCAGCATAATATTTGTTTGTACTTTGAAAAATCATCTCAAATGCTTCTCATGTATGTAAACACACTTTGCCAAATAACAGTGGTGTTTGCACGTAGTCACTGCACAGACTGAGTTCTCATTACTGACAGGAACCAACGGCGATTCAGTTTTGTTGTTCTTTTTATTACCCCAATCCTCAGATGTCTTTAGTATCTGACAGTAGTCATTCTAAACAAGATACATCACCCAAGAAAGATGATTTAAAAAATGGTGATGTAAATGTAGACTTCAGTCAACTGAAACTTGACAATAAAGGTCAGTATAAAAATGTATTATTTTATGTAGTTGCCAGAAAACAAATAATGCTTAAAATGTCCTTGGTATTCATTAGTTTTTCCCTCTGAGAGATTATGAAGTAAAAGTGTATGGCACTGCTTAATTCCTATAAATATGCTTCTTGTTGCTCTATTACATAAAGATAATATGTCTTCTCATCAGTAAAGGACAGTGCAAAAAAGTAAGGCTTTTAAGCAGCTTGGATTCCATGTTGATTAAAGGAAAACTAGGAAGTGGATTGCTCAGTCTGAAAGAACTTGTTATCCATGGGCTGCTGAAACCCCTCATAAAACCTTTATGCTTGTTATTTTGTCATAGTCATCTTTAGATTTATGCATAAAACTAGTCATTGTGTTGATTCATGTTTTTAAATAAGTTTTCAGAAGGTTAAGGATTATATATAATTTATAACTTGTATTTTAATGTCTAAGAGTGCAGAAATAGTCATGAAATAAGTGAAGACTGGTTTGATGCTACAGAAAACCTGACAGGAGTTGACTTCTCGGGAATACAAGAAAATCTAATAGAACACAACAGATGGGATCCAAAGTTTTCACTAGGTTGGTTCTCAAAAATTTACCAAAGAATTCTCATCTCGCTTTATTTTAAAATGGTGCATCCTGATTCTGTGCTGATTTAGGAAACTGACATCTTAAAATACTTTGTTCCTGCTCATGCCTTTTCCTTATAAATATAAAAAAATGAGAAATTTGGCCAGTTGGAGGTCAATTTTTTAAAAAGCACGTAGGGTATTGAATGTTAATTTTTCTTCCAAAAAGCAGCTTCAAGCAGTTAAATCAAGGACTTAGTTTTCAGATAGGCTAGACATTCTGTCCCTCCTCCTCAAGGTGAGCATTAGTGCTCCTTTCGGGCATCTTTTTCTTCTGAACCCTCAGCAGACACTTTCCACTGGTGGGTGGGTACCAGTTTCCTATATCCATTAGACAAGCAGCAGAAATCTGGCAAATTGGTATAGGAAGTAAAAGCCATTTGCATTTGCTTTTCCTTTAATAATTTCATCTGTTGAATGAACGTTTTTTTTTTTCTTTTCTTTTTGTGGTACTGGAGTTTGAACTAGGACCTTGCATTTGCTAGGCAGGCGCTCTACCACTTGAGCCTTCCGCGCACCCCCACCGCCACGCCCCGTCTTCTTTTTTTTTTTTTTTTTTTTTTCTGTTAGTTATTTTTTTGTATAGGCTCTCACGTTTTTGTCTGGGGCTAGCCTTAAACCACAATCCTCCTACATATGAAAAGTTACTGTAATATTTCCATATAATTCCAAAAATCTCAAATGCTTCTGACCACCATTCCCAGCCTGCTGGTTGAGGTGGCTGACACCAAACTGTGGGATTCTCCCCATCTCTTCCTCACAAGTAGTTGGGTACAGATGTGCCTCACCATGCACAGCCTTAATTACCTTCAATAGAATTTTCCCTAGTGTCTGTGATTATTGCCCTTACGTCATTTTGATATTTATGCTGCCTTTTTTTATTTTTCCAATCTTGTTCTGTGGATTTTTCTTTTACTTTCTACAGTAGCAATGATTTGTAATATTTTTGCTGCTTATAGAAATAATCATTAAGATTTAAAATAAGAAATAATGAGAAAATTACCTGAAGTTTTACAATGTAATAATCATTCTGAATATTTTAGTAGTGATCATTCATGTATGCATAATTCAATACACATATACAACTTAAAATAAATGGTTTTATATCATCTGGTTTTGTTGTAACGATAAAATTTTTCTTGTATTCATTTTCCCCATTAGCACTTAACACATACTATTCATTTTGCTTACCTGGTATATTGACTGCCTTTGGACATATACTAACTCAGCAAGACCAAGATTTTTTTTGTGTTGGGGGCGGTAGGTACTAGGGTTTGAGCTCAGCGCTTCACACTTGCAGAGCAGGCTCTTTACCACTTAAGCCACACTCTAATCCATTGTTCTCTGGTTATTTGGGAGATGGGATCTGGTGAACAATTTGCCCAGCCTGGCCTCAAACCTCTATCCTCCCAGTCTCAGCCTCTTAAGTAGCTAGGATTACAGGCATGAGCTGCTGCCCTAGCTCAATAGTTATTTTTATTAGATTAATAAATGGTGAAGTAATAAAATGAATGTCCTCTGATTCTTACTCAGTGCTCTTTTTTACTACACGATAGCTCTTTATTCCTCCTCATTCCAGTGTCAAATCTTAAATTGTAATGAAATAGTTCCTTTGTTTTCTTTTTAGGACACACAGATTAAATGACATTAATGAAGGAGGGTTGGTATTATTACCAAGAGCTGAGGGGCTGTTCCTGAGTCCAGCCCTACTACTTAGTAAATTTGTAACGTAGACTCCTAAGACCTCGGCATCCTTATGTGTAGACGCAGAATAACAGTAGGGGCCTTATGAAGTGGTTGTGAAAACTACGTGAGATGATGTCGATGCAGTGGTTAGCACATTGAAACACGTGAAGCAGTCAGTAAATGCTTAGATACTATTAGTATTTAATGCAAAGATAAAATTTACCAATATCCCATGCATAAAGATTAAAACAGAAACTAAAAATTCATTCAGCGAGGGGTTGTACTGTACCTCTATGCTCAAGATACAGAATTTTACAGTAATCTGAATTCAGCAAATCTTTTTATTTCAGACCAAGTTCTTTTCACAATAGAGACCACAGAAATAGAGTCTTAAAAATTTTGAATTTTTTTGGCAGTACTGGGTCTTAAACTCAGGCCCTTTTACTTGGTAGGCAGGCGCCCTACCACTTGAGCCACTCTGATAACCCTTCTGGTTATTTTTGAGATAGGGTCTCACTTTATCTCCATGGCAGCCTGGGCCATGACACTCCTAGTTGTGCTTCCCAGAGTAGCTGGGGATAATGATGTATACCACCATGCCCAGTCATTGGTTGAGATGGGTTCTCGAGAACTTTTTGCCCTGGCTGGCCTTGAACTGCAATCCTCCCAATTTCCACCTCCCAAATAGCTAGGATTACAGGCTGCAGAATTTTTAATATTTTTATCAAAAATACCTATAATCCTAGTTTGTGATATCCAAAATCTTTGGTAACTTAAGTTGTCTCCCTGTTTTCTTAAGTTTATCACAAGCTAAAATACTTGGTGTTGATAGTTACCTGATATGAGGGTTTTCTTGTCACTCTGTTTCCCAGCAAAAGGAATATGCATAAAGAGCTCTCGGCTCACTAGCTGCCCCCAGCATTGACACTAGGGAACTAAGATCCTGTGTGCATTGTGTTCTAGATAGTACTTCTCAGAATCAGAGATAAATGGCATTTTTCTTAGTAGGAATGTGATTGGTACATGTTTGAATTCTAATAAAGACTCTCCAGAATAATGCAGCCCTTCATCTTCAGCATGATTGGCAGCCGTGCTCCAAGCTCCGGGCTTCCATCTACTGCTCATATTTGCTGAGAACTTCAAACTAACTTCTGTAGTGGGAGTAAAAATAAATTGTGAATAATTAACAGTGTTCACATTTTTTCTTAAAAATACCAGTACAATAATGGGCATTTCTGTTTATTTTTTATAAGCAGAAATGAAGAATGTTGAACCATTAGGAAGAGATAAAGGTTTTATGATACATGTTGGTGGTCTCTGTCCTTCAGTATCTGAGGTATGCCAGGATTTTTTTTTGGGGGGGGGTGACTCATTTTCAAATTCATTGATTACTCATATTACAATTTTTTTCTACCTTTAACAAACTTGTTTCTCTTCTTTTAGGCTGATTTAAGGACTCATTTCCAGAAATACCAAATTTCTGAAATTTCAATTTATGATTCTTCTAATTACAGGTGTGTTTCCTAAATTCATTAAATGTATTACTTTGTGTCTGCTGTGCACCAGATGTTCTGCCACAGCGATGACAATCAAGGGCCACTCCCACAGGGGAGTCCCAGGCTAGTGGAGGGACACAGACAAATAGCTGCAACATTAGTTGGTGCTGTTTTTCATTAGATCTTTATTCTTTTTCACTCATTTGTGGTGGAGGAGTGTTCTTGTTGATTTTGTGCGTGTGTGTGTGTGTGTGTACTTTGCCTTATTACATACGGTTTCATCAAGGAAACAGAGTGTACCAGTTAAGAAACTGGGCTGTAGAAACAGATGGCTTGGGTTCACTTTCCAGCTGCATCAGTGGCTCCATGAGTTAATTTCGGCAAGTTACTTAACCTTCCTGTACCTCAGCCACTTCGTCTATAAAGTAAGAGCACTGCTGTGAAACTGTTAGGAGTCAATTATGGAAGGCACCAGGAATTAATCCTACCTCATAGTAGGTGTTCAGAAAATGGTATCTTACTGTTTCTGATATTGTTTTATTTATTTTTAAATTTTATTTTTGAATTTGTGTACATTAGTAATAATATGAGGGGATTTTACTGTTAAGTTACTTTTTAGTTGATTTTTTATATTTTTTGCATCATGTATATAAGTCATTTCCAATAAGTACGTTGTTAGGCTCTGTGACATTACCAAATCATTCAAAGGTCCCAGGTAACAATGGTGATAGAGTAATAGAAATGCTTTTATCATAAAAATGATACTAGGTATTTTAGATATGAAAACATCAGTCAAGAAAGGATTTTAATTGTAATTGGACTTGAAATTTGTTAAAAGTAAGTGTTTGTCTTAAGTGGAATCACTGAAGATCATACATTTTTTAATGTGACCTGTCAGTATGCTAACACATTTTATTACGTTAAAGTGGTACCATTCCCCTTCATAGTATTTACTTGATGTGAGTCTGTTGGTATCTTGTTGAGTTCTTAAAAAAAAAAAACAAAACTTTGTTTTCTTACTTGAAGTATTGTACATTCTACATGGAAATATAGGAAGTATAACTAAAGATAGGAGGTTATAAAATCCTAACCAGAGTCTCATCGTTTGGAAACAGCCACCGTTTGTTGGCGCCGTCTAAGGGAGTTGCTTTAATAGAGACAGCTCCTGCCCAACATCTTCAGTTACCTGATTAAAATTTTGATTAGCTCTTCTCACTTTTTGGCTATGTGTTTTCTCACTATAGGTTATAAAGACATTCTCTTATGTATTCTGCTAAATGTTTTTAAATTTTGCCTTTTACATTTAAGCCTTTGAATGTAGAGTTTGTGTTTGTATATAAAAAGTAACCTTTATTTCTTTATGGCTCACCACTTGTGCCTAGACCACAAATCTGTGCACTTCCATCAAATACCAATTTTACACATTAAAACATTATAGAATTAATTGACGATAACTCATAACAATTCTTACTGTCATTTATTTCCCATCTTAATTTGTTTTGTATTTAGCTATCCTGAATATTCTTCTTATCCCAAGGTAAGTATAGTATAGTAACCTTTTTTAGTAAGAGCAGTTAGTAGAAAGTCATATTTTAACCAATAGTTATGAAATTGTTTGAGGTAATTTAAAGTCATTAATAACCTTTTGGTCTTCTGCTTTTATATTTTAGATATGCATCTCTTGCTTTTAAAAAAAACAATGATGCAAAGATGGCTGTGAAAGAAATGAATGGGGTAGAAATAAATGGAAAATCAGTAAATGTGCGCCTTGTTAAGACTCCTGGAGAACATATGTCACCACTCTCCCCCAAAAATGGGGATAGAGCTAGTTTGAATCATTTGAAGAAAAACACCAAAGAAACCATCCCAGCCTCCTCTGTTTCTAGATTGCCCAAACACAGACCACAGCTGCTGGGATCTGGGCAAGGGAGCGAGCATTCCCCTTTGGACCCTAAGGTTAGTTTTCTTAATTGGTCCTATAAATGGCCTTGACTCTGCCATATTGCTATAAGTGCCTTTGTGGAGTAGGTAACTACATTCTTGCAATCTCAAAGTAGGAACAAGAGCATCGAAATAATTCTTAGACCTGGATCCATCTTCACCTGATTTGTACAGCTGTGGCTGTTCTTAAGGAAGAAAGCTTACTCTTTGTGCACCTAGCCAGAGAGAAACCCATTCTCTTTAACCTGTCTCTTTCCAAATCCTTTGCATCTTTACAGCATTTTCGTCTCTATTCCCGGACAGTACTACTCTGTAAGTAACCAGTTACATTTTCATCATTGTTTTTTTCACAGCCAACCTTATCCCATAGCTCTTTTCTTCTGGTGATACAGAGGTTTGAACTCAGTGCCTTACACTTGCTAGGCAAGTTCTACCACTTGAGCCATATCTCCAGCCCTTTTTGCTTTAGTTATTTTCCAGATGGGGTCTAACTTTTTGCCCAGAGCCAGCCTCAGACCAAAATCCTCTTGCCTATATCTCCCCCATAGCTGGAATGACAAGCATGTACCACCACACCCAGCTTGTTGGCTGAGATGGGGGTCTCACTAACTATTTGCCCAAACTGGCCTCAAACCACAGTCCACCCCCCATTTCCATCTCCTGTGTACTTGGGATTACAGGTGTGCACCACTGTGCATTTTACTTCACTCAGGTTTTAAATACCCCCTGCAAAATGATGAAGTTTGCCCTGTTCACTCTTACCTCTCCATTTGCTCAAAATACTATCAGCATTCCCAGTTGGTTTTTTTTTTCACGTACAGTAAAATTCACTTTTCAATAATTGAATATAAGCAAGCAACTATCACTGCATTCAAAGAACAGTTCCAACATTACAAATTCCATAGTGCTCTGGTATGTTTGCCATGTTAATTAACTGTGCCCTCTATGCAACTCTTTCCTGATTCCTCATTATCCCATGCCTTTCCGGTACCATGAGTTACTCCACTTTCACTCAGAGCTTTCTCTCCTCAGTCACCCACAGCTCTTCCTGTGCCTGACTCGGCTTTTCTTTGAACTTAACCCATTTTTGTTCTGTGTTTTCACTGTCAATCTTCTCGTGAAGTAGTTTATATACACTGTCTCAATTTGGTTGCTTCTGTTCTTTCCTGATATTCTCACTCAGTCTCTAAAATTTTACTTACACTGCTCTTTGCATGGTCACTAGTGAACTTTGTGTTGGTTTTCCCTCCAACTTCCTCCTTCTTGACCACCTGGTCTTTTTGACACTTGCCATCCATCTTTAAAGCTCTTCATCTCACCAACACTTCAATCTAGTGTAGGAGGGAGACAAAGAAAATATACTTGGGATACATGGGGCCAGAGCTGAGGGCTTGGGAGCCATAGCACCTCACTTCTTCTGTGTTTCACGTGAGTTCTTGCTTCTGTATCCTCTATCGAGCTCCTTCTGCTGCTCTCTGCGTGCTGGTTTTCTCTGCTTATGACTGCTTTGTTCCCCACTACCTTTTATTTGCTTGCTTCTAACTCTGCAGTATTTGTGATCGTTTGGCTAACTAATTTGCTCCATGTTCCAGTTCCACAATGACAGGAAATGCAGTTGACCCACGGGTGATTTTGGTGTTCTTTTTTGAAGAAACAGCATTCAGTTCAGTTTCCAGTGGTTGTGGGCTATGAAGGTTAGCATGGGGGAGAATACAAAGGCAGCCCTGGGGGTCTCAGGGTGTGAGCACACAGATAGGACGCTCCTGCTGCCATCTGTCCCTACCTCCACGTTCTCTTATCTTCCAGCAGCTTCTTGTTCCTTTTGTCTTTTCCTCATACTTTTAACATTCAGTCATTCATTTAGGGGATCAAGAAGAACTGCAAACAGATTGAATCTGCTCACTTATTACCTGAGACACCTGTTTACTTCATACCTCCAAATACATTGAACCTTCGTAGCTTCACTAAGATCATGAAGAGACTGGCTGAACTGCATCCAGAAGTCAGCAGGTAGTAACTAAAACTTTATTCTGACTAATTGTAAATTTTTTATGTAAATATGTAGGTCAGCGACTTAGCCATGTTCAGACCCTGTTACTTTGGCAAGTGAAAGATGCTTGTGTATGTTTTCTTTTTACACAGAGATCACATTATAGATGCTCTTCAGAAAGTGAGAATGAGTCATAAAGGCTTTCTGAATGGCTTGTCTATTAGTACTATTGTAGAAATGACCTCATCTGTCCTGAAAAACTGATTCCACTTAGGAGTTAATGAGACAGACAATAAAGAGGTAATGTGGTCATATTTTATATTTAAACATTACTTTAATATGTAAATCATTGGTTTCATTTTCTTTTCATATAAAAGCAATAATTTAAATTAACATGGTAATAATAAAATATAAAACATACTATATTAGTTCATTGTTAATGCAAAGCCAGGTATTCCCAAATCGACTGGCTTAAACATGTAGGTATCATCTCAGATCAGGATTCAGAAGTGACTTTAGCTCAGGATCTCATGATGTTACAGTCAAGATGGTGGCCTGACTGTGGTCACTTAGAGTCTCGACTGAGACCAGAAAATCTGCTTCTAAAATGGCTCAGTCACATGGCTGTCAGCAAGAGGCCTCAATTCCTCACCACATGGACCTTTCTTTCCACAAGGTTCCTTGCATATCTCTACCTCGTGACATTCGGCATCCTCTGAGCCAAAAAGAGCAAGATGGGAGCTGCACTGTCTTTTGTGACCTACCCTGTGGGGTTGTGGTCTGTCACTTTTGCCACACTTTATTAGATGAGAATCACTACAGTCAAACCCATGATCAGAGAAGGGACATTAAGCTCGACTTCTCAAAGAATTTGTGTATATATTAAATTTCCACAGATTCCTTTTTGCATAATGGTGAGTCAGCACGTCTGCGTTCGCCACCTTTGCACTGAAAACAGGTAGAAAAAGCTGAGTAAACGTTAAGTCCATACCACTGAAGAGTTACAGAGTTCTGGATCAGTTACCAGGCCGGGGCACAGAGCAGTGAGTCCCAGAAGAACATGTCCAGTGTTTGGGGCCACGTCCCCTGGCAGTATTTGCCAAGGGGCAGCTTAGGAGTCACACCCTTCTGGTAGCATCACATCCAGAGGAATGGAATCTTGGTAAACTCAGTATTGGGGTTGGGATTCCCAGGGGCTGGACTCTAGGAGTAGGTTTGAACCAGAAATAGGTGGTTCCTCAGAGAGGCTCTTACTCAGCTTCAGAAGTTATTGAGGTAAATTGGCTTGAGGTGATTTCCAATTAAGACTTCTGTCAGATACTTAGGAGAAATTAAAGTAAAAATTCTTTGGAAGAAAGCAATGTTTTAGGTCTCAGATTATTTATACCAGCAGTTTTGTACATAATATTTTATAAGTATAAATATACATAAAAATAGCTAAGTCATAAAGAATACCTTATCAATGAAAATGAGCATAAGCACTAGATAGAGGAAACTATCCATGGGATTCTAGGTATTTAAGTTGTCAAACATACTTTTAAAAGCATATTCTTATATCTGATAAATTGTTTGTAAAAATGGACATATTTCTGAAGCTGTCTCAAGTGGTAGAGCACCTGCCTCACAAGCATGAAGTCCTGAGTTCAAACTCCAGTACCATGCAAAAAATGGCCATAATTATTCCCCTCTGTATAGCCATGCCTCTTTGCAAAGTAACTTTGAAGTCCCTGCCACCAAAAAGTAGAGTCTACTAGCCAGGTGTGGTAAAAAATAAATAAATAAAAAACACCTGTGATCTCAGCACTCAAGAAGCTAAGGAAGGAGAGATCAAGGCCAGCCTGGGCTACATAGTGAGACCCTGTCTGAAAAAATAACCATAAACTATTTTCACACACAAAAAACTAAGATAACTTGTTATTTTAGAAGGAGATCCACTCTGAAAAAACTAGTGTTCTCTGAATGAAAAACGGTAATTTTAAATGAAAGGTCAGAAGAAAATTGAAGAGCAAAATAGAATAGTCATGTGATGCATTTCATATCAGCATTAAATGTTAAAGCAAGAGTCATGTCTTTTATAGGTTCTTAATATAACTGGAATATATATCAACCTAGTGCGTAAGTGGAGAGACAGTTATGTACTGTTACTCTTCAGAGCACCTGCAGTTTGGGAAGAGGGTAAAATGTTCTATGTTAGAGTTCCCAAGACCACCCTGATTTTGGGGGACAACCCTTAAAAGAACAATATTTAAAAGCAAGCAGAAGTGAAGTTGGGCATTTTCCTTGTACCATATCCACAAATTAACTCAAAACAGATAAAAAACTTAAGACATAAAACTCTTAGAAGAAAACATGGTGACGATCTTTACAATGCTGGACTTGGCAGGGATTTCTTTGATATTACACCTTTTAAAAACATAGACAGTAAAAAAGATAAATACATTGAGCTTCTTCAAAATTAAAACTTTGAGCATTAAAGGACACCATCAACACTGAAACTGCAATCTGCAGCATGAGGAAGTGTTTACAAATCATGAATCTGATACATAAATCCAAATATATTAATATCCTGGATACATAAATCCAACTCAGCAACAAAATACAACCCAATTAAAAATGGGCAATTTGAATAGATACTTCTCCAAAATAGTTATATCCAAATGGCCAATAAATACATGAAAATACGTTCATTGTCAGGAATTCTTAGAAAAATGCAATCAAAACCACAGCGAGACTCCTCTTCACACCCGTTACAAGAGCCATTTTCGAAAACATAGAAAAATAACAAATGTCAGGATAGAGAAATTTGAAGCTTCATGCTTGCTGGTGGGAATGTATAAAATTTGTGATTCTTCTGTTTTGAATAAACTTTCTTTGCCTATTTATGCCCTTCTACTTCTTTCTTCATAAGTTTCATTAAATATCATTTAACATGATGAATTCATATTTACAACATAAAATTGCTACAAAATTTTAAGAGCCAACTTTTGGTTCTGTGTGTCCTTCCTATTGTGTGTTCTTTCTTTTTATTAAAACATTTTTTTGAGACGAGATCTCACTCTGTTGCCCAGGCTGGTCTCCAACTCCTGGGCTCAAGTGGTCCTCCTGCTTTAGCCTTTTGAGTAGCTGCCAACACAGGTGTGCATCCACCATTCAGATGTGTATGTCTTTTGTTTGTTTGTTTGTTTGTTTTGGCAGTACTGAGGTTTGAACTCAGAGCCTCATGTTTGCTAGGCAGGAGACTACCACTTCGTACTCTGTTCATATTTCATGAGTTTCTATACTCCAGTATTTCCTTTCTTACTCTTCTCTTTGTTTCCAGCTTCTTGAGTTGTATACTTTGCTCATTAATTTTCAGTTATTTTTCTTTTATGATGTAGGTATTTAAAGCTATCCATTTCAGATAGCTCTAAATTGCATGTCACAAACTTGAAGTGAACCATTTTCATTTTCATTGATTAAAACATAGGGTCTCAGACACTATTTTCCCGGGCTGACTTCTAACTGCGATCCTACTGATCTCTGCCTCCCAAGCAGCTAGGTGTTACAGGCATAAGCTACCAGCGCCTGACTTCTCTACCTATTACTAAATGTATAGTACAGAAGAAATATCTTCATTGCCCTGAAAGCAAGACATACAGAAATGTTAGACTCATATTTCCATTAAAATATCAAATATTTAACAAAAGATATGATACTATGACACATTAAGAGAAATTAAACAAATTCTAAATAGAGGGATATATCTCCTGTCTGGATTAAAAGACTTTCCCCATCCTAGTCAATGCATTCAGTGCTAACCAAATAAAATCCTAACAGGTAGAGTCTCAGAATTATGTGAAAGTACAAAAGATCAAGAATAACCAATACGGTATTTAAGAAAAATTAAGTCTGGTTTTATCACATGTTAAGATTTGTTTAGTGACAGTAAAATAGTATGATCTTGGTGCAAAGATAAACAGCAGAAGAGACTCCATAAACAAATAGGAAAGGTGAAGGTGGCATTGTAAGTGATACTGACTCCATTAGACTCCATACGAAAAGAAAGTCACCTGTGAGATTGGCAGGCATATTGATACACTGCTGTGGGGACAACCAGTGCAAATGCCAGGAAAATCATCAGTGTCTTAATCATATGTATGTTGACTCTTGAACCCAAAAATCTTACTTTATCATCTGTGTCAGAGGTAGGCTGGCACACAAAATGTCACAGGCACAAGGTTCTATAGCATTGTCTGTCATTGCAAAAGATTGGAAATCTTCAAATTGGCTGTTAGATAGTCATAAAAAATAAGTATGATCTGTATATAGATGGAGCAAACTTCAGAAAATATTAAGTAACTAACACAAGGGAGATAATAGTTTCAGCTTTTTTTTAAGAAAGGGGGAAGTAGAATGTATGTCCATACCTTTACTTGTATTTGTGAGCAGAAACTGAAGGAAAAGGTGATAAAATTACTATGGGTAGAGAAGAGATAGGGATAGAAAGAAAATGTCTCTGAATATACTTAATTAGCCTTAACTTTTTGAACTATAAATACTACCTATATATTAAATTTGTCTCAAGCCATGTAAGAGAAATAATTATTTTAATTTATGTTTGTACAGCATCTTAACTATACTTCCTCAAATATATATTTTACATATTCTGAGAAAAAGTAGAGCTGCAAAGATCATAAACTATATTTACTTTAATAGTAATATTTTGAAGCTTTTACATAATTATGTTAATATTAGAAATCAATGTCTTTGGTGTATAAGAAAAAAGATAAAGTATATTTAAAAATCTGTACTATTACATTTGAATTCAAAGTAATAAAGTTATGGCTGAAAACACTTAGAAGCAATGATAACCCAGTGACACTAGCATAACTAGCATCCAGATTGTGGTATCTAAGTACCAGTTCTACTTTAATCCCTGTTTGCATCACATTTAAATAGACTTTCTTAACAATTGCCTTAACTCTCATTTTGCTCCTATACTCAGTAATGTATCCACCCTTGTCTTGATTCATTTCTAAGTTGCCAAATAATCAGTTAAATGCTTTCTTCATTTTGTTAGGTTTGTTTCTCTTTGTGACCCACTCCCCTCTGATAATCATTTTAAATTAAGATGTACTTGCAATAAAGTAACTAATTCTAAACTTACATTGCAATGGAATTTTGCATGTCTGTGAACAGGTCTGTATACCAGGTGGAGATACATAAGGTTTCCAACACCCCCAGGAGGCTCCTTTGTGCCATGTCACAATTATTACCTCCCTACA